GGGTTTAGGGTTTGGGGTTTAGGGTTCAGGGTTGTTCTTGACATCGCTGCGCATCTGGATTCCGCTGATCACTTCGTGCACGGACACTTTGGAAAATAGGGGAACCCAAACACAAGCCCCCAAATAGAAGGATCCCCTTATAGTTGGGACCCCAATGAAAGGTACCCTAATTTCGGAAATTCCCGTAAATGTGGGCAACGCCATGTGCAAAACCTATTGGGGGGGGGGGAATGCAGCTTCTCTGCAAACCATGTCAAGGGCGGGAAGCGGGACTGCGTCGTGCTTTCGCGGGGTGTGCAATCTCACTACGCATCCCCCTCAACATCCAGGCAAAGCTGCCCCTAATCCCATATCCCTAAACCCTCAACCCTAAATACCCAAACCTTAAACAGCTACACATGCTTGGTACCTTACCGCGAAGCCCGGTACACCCAACATGGCTAAGGATCAAAGGTCACTGTAACGAGCAAACCCGAAACACGTACTCCTGAACTCAAGCAAGGAACCTCAATGATTTCCAATCTTAACTACGAACAGTGACAGCACTGTTTAAGAAATCAGTAGTTTAAGAAACGAGCACCCTCGCGTGGGGACCCCCTCGCCGACTTTCCGGTTTAAAATGTGAAAGTAAAAACGGACCCCCCCCCCCCCCCCCCCCCGCCCCCGAAAAAAAAAAACACATTTTCTCCCTATAAGGGTCATATAGGGATTATTGTACGACATTTTTTGGGGGGAGTTCTTCAGTTAGGCGCTTGCATTCCGGTTTTTCTTCGACTATAACGTGCGCAAACAAGCAATCTCAGCGAAATTAAGCCCAAACCCTGAACCCTAAACCATGAATCCTAAACCCTGAACCCTAAACCCTGACGGGACCTAAAACCCTAAATCTTAAACCCTAAAAACCCTAAACCCTACACCCCAAAACCTAAACCCTAAACCCTAAAGACTCGGCCAGGCCGCGGTGTTGGTTCAGGTGCGTCAGGCGATCTCCGGTGATGCTTCCGCCGCCCAACCGGCGTTCGAAGGAGCGCACGTCGCCTGGGCTTGGTTTAGGGTTTATAGGGTTTATAGGGTTTATAGGGTTTATGGGGTTTATAGGGTTTGTAGGGTTTGTAGGGTTTATAGGGTTTGTAGGGTTTGTAGGGTTTGTAGGGTTGATAGGGTTTGTAGGGTTTATAGGGCTAATAGGGTTTATAGGGTTTAGGGTTCAGTGTTTAGGGTTTATTTGGGGTTATAGGGTTCTTGGGTTCAGGATTTCGGGTAGAAATGATGTCAGGGCTTCAGGCTCAGGGCACTGGCTGAAGCTGAAGCTGAAGCGCCCTCTCCAACCCCCTCCCCCCCCCGCAGCCTCGAAACTCCAAACCACTAAACCCTAAACCACTAAACCCTAAACCGAAGAAGCCCTAAACCCTAAAGCCCCAAGTCCGAAGTCCGGGTATCGGTTTTAAGGGTGTATTTATGGGCTCTTTCCTAGGCCCTTATATCCTAAGCCTGAAGCAAGAATCGCAAAGCAGGGTTTAGGGAGGGCGGTTTAGGGCTTTGGGTTCAGGACCTGAAGTGGGGCTTTCATGGCTCGCATCCCTCAAAAGGACCCCCGAAGAGTATGAGGAACCCATAACATTACCCTGCAATAAGACAGTAGGCCTTGAACCCCAAACCTCAACAACCCTTAAACTTGAAACCCTAAACCCTCGCCCCTGTTCATATGTTTAGGGTTTAGGGTTTAGGGTTTAGGGTTTAGGGTTGGGTCCTATATAAAAAGACCCCAAAACGGGACCCGAATTTCGAGAGCTACCCATATCTAGGGTTGGAGTTGCACTTTTGGGTGCATCCCTATAAACTCTAAACTCCAAAAAAGCAGGGGGGGGGTTAAGGTTTAGGGTTTAGGGTTTAGGGTTTAGGGTTTAGGGTTTAGGGTTTAGGGTTTAGGGTTTAGGGTTTAGGGTTTAGGGTTTAGGTGTCTTAGCGCCACTTGAGCCCCAGCATCGGGCGAAGACTCGTGAGATGAACTCCTGGTATCAGCAGGAGGTTGAAACAGGGTTTCAAAGGGCTTAACAGGTTTTAGGGTGTAGGGTTTAGGGTGTAGGGTTCAGGGTTTAGGGTTTAGAGTTTGAGGGCTCACCTTCAAAACCCGTAGACTATAATTATGGTCTACAGTTCCTATTTTGGGGCCATAGTAGCCTCTTATTTTGGGTAACTAGGCGTTTAAGGTAAAAGGGCTTAAGGGTTTTAGAATGTAAGGGTCTAAGGGTCTAAGGGTTTAGGGGTTTGAGGGTTAACTTTGAAACAAAACCTCCAATGCGCTGAAAAATACTTAGAAGCTCTTTTTGACTTTCCGCTTCGTATCCCCTAGAACCCAATCATAATCCCCATAGCCCGCCTTACTAGGTCAAGAGGGCTTCCAAGTATGGCTTCAACATTGTAAATCACAAATGGCCCAAAACCACCCCTTAGTTTTCCTAATAAACTCTAAACCCTAAACCCTAAACCCTAAACCCCCAAATCGCCCGAACCCTTCAGCGCCAGCTCCTCCGGCGAGTTCGACACAGCGATGAGCTCGCAAAGCATCTTAGCCCAAAGGACCTCTCAGAGGTGCATTTTGAGAGGGCTTCTAGGGTTTAGGGTTTAGGGTTTGGGGTTTAGGGTTTCGGGTTTCTAGGGTTTCGGGTTTAGGGTTTGGGGTTTAGGGCTTAGGGTTTGGGGTTTGGGGTTTAGGGCTTCTAGGGTTTAGGGTTTGGGGTTTAGGGCTTCTAGGGTTTAGGGTTTGGGGTTTGGGGTCTAGGGTTTAAGGTTTCTAGGCTTTCTAGGCTTTCTAGGGTTTTTAGGGTGATCGGGGTGTGCGGCTCTAGGGTTCAGTGCCCTAAACCAAAAAAAACTCCACCCTAACCCCCCTAACCCCCCTCGCCGAGTCGTCGCCTTGTAGCTGAAGTCACCAAGATGAGGGCTGGCTTGGGCAAATGATGTTGTGGTGTAATAAGTTCTTCAGACATGAAATATGATTCTTTAGTGTTCAAGATTAAAAAAAATAGATTAATAAATATTAATAATATTATTCTGGAATAAGATAGCTGTAGTCGAAGACGTAAAGCTGAGAATAGAAGAAGCCACGCTGTGAAAGATGCTGTAGTGCAGTTTGACAGATGCAAGAACATTAGAGTATACTCTAGCGACTCTAGCATAGTGCATACTGTAGAAAAAGTCTGCAATACTGCAATTCTGCAAGCAGACGCGCTATTGATCTCAAGCCGGTCAAAGACTTGGTCTTGCCTCACAATACTTGGCAGGAATTGCTTGTCTGCCTCAGCGGCTGGGACACTTGGTCTGCCTGATAACCACATAAGAACCTGCAACCTTCCGTACCTCAGGCTGCGCGCGGTTCCGGGCTGATTCGGGCTTCGGAATGGCGATCAGGGTCTATGGGTCTCCATAGAAATTAACAAAAACAATGGTGACAAAGAATAGTAACACGAACGAACAGTACATACACACATATGAACTTTTGCAGCATTGCCCAAGAGCACGCGCCACCTAACGAAGGCGGCACCTGCTGCGGGTTCATGTCAAAGAAATGAATGACCTTGGGCTTTAGCACCAGCCTCGGAAGCCGGGTCTTGTAGGTTTTAGGAGCTCAGCCCTCAGACTGGGGCTGAGAAGGTTTGGGACGTAGGGTTCGGGGTCTAGGGGTTTAGGGTTCAGGGTTTAGGGTGTAGGGTTTACAAGTAAGGTTGCACTCTGTCATGTCATACATGTGTGTTTCTGCGTTGAGTACACATGTCATTAGGGTCTCGGGCTACAGGGTTTTGGGCTGAGCAACTTTGGTTTCGGAGGGCTTTTCTGCCTCACTGCCATGAAACTAGCTAATTTGGGCGTTCTGGCTTGTATCTCGGAAGGCTTTGAGGTGACGGTCTGAAGCGCGAGAGCGTGAAGCATGAACAAACGCATGGCTTTGGCTTCATGACACGTATGCTTAACAGGCTACTAACAGGCTACCCCATAGACATTAAAACACACACACGCACAGATACACACACACACACACTGTGATTGTGATAGTGTGGAAGTGAGAAAGTTTTTTGCCATGTGTGCCAGACCACAGGAATGGCACACGAAAACGAGATGAGATGATCCTTCAGGGGTAAAGTTGCGGCCCCTGCTGCTACGCCAGACACGAAGGAATGACGTAGCACGAAGTGAGATGAGGATGAATGCAATGAATGTCCCGCCAGCTGCCCACAACGGGGCCCAGGCGCAGACAAGCAGGTACGTTTCCTGGGGTATGGGGAGGAGCTTCGGTGGGCAGAGCCCCCCCACACCCCCTCTGCCCCCCTGCAAAGTAGTTGGCTGTGAAGCCTTTCCAGGATGAACATACCTGTTTCCACACACACACAGCCCTCGGAAGGGCCAACTCATGCAGGGACTGCAGACATGTTTGCTTGCACTCGCAGACAGGCATGAAGTGATGCACATGCCCTGGCGCTCGCACTACCTAAAACCTGTTTGACAACCCCCATGGAAAACGAAAAAAGGTTTTGAATGAGCCGCCACTAGGTTTCGAGTGGATGCGGGGCCTGTCCACGAAGTGGTGGATAAGGGTCCAGTCCACCCTTTGGAAAACAAAACCTCTGCGGCAGGTAGTTTGAGAGCGAGAAGGGAAGGGATGGTGAGCCTGCCCACACCCCCGGCAACCTGACAAAACACGACCTCAGGCGGGAACATACATCAGCTCGACACCCGTCTCAAAGAGACATCGAATCAAAACCAAGAGAGAAGGAATCGGGAGGAAACCCTTGGCTCGCACGGACCGTCACATCCTAAAAGCTTCGGACGATCGTACCTCCAACTGGAGGCTCGGCTAACTGCCGTTGGCGGGCGCCCAGGAGGGAAAGCCCAACCCAATCACACACTGATTGTGATAGTGTGGAAGTGACCTTGCCTGGATATGTTTGTAATGAAGATGAGATGAAAGTTTTTTACCATGTGTGCCAGACCACAGGAATGGCACACGAAAACGAGATGAGATGATCCTTCAGGGGTAAAGTTGCGGCCCCTGCTGCTACGCCAGACACGAAGGAATGACGTAGCACGAAGTGAGATGAGGATGAATGCAATGAATGTCCCGCCAGCTGCCCACAACGGGGCCCAGGCGCAGACAAGCAGGTACGTTTCCTGGGGTATGGGGAGGAGCTTCGGTGGGCAGAGCCCCCCCACCCCCTCTGCCCCCCTGCAAGTAGTTGGCTCTGAAGCCTTTCCAGGATGAACATACCTGTTTCCACACACACACACACACACACACACACACACACACACACACACACACACACACACACACACACACACACACACACACACACACACACACAAACACACACACACACACACACACACACACACACACACACACACACACACACACACACACACACACACACACACACACACACACACACACACCTAGTAGTATTATAAGGAACACGATATACACTCACCAGTAACATTAACTAAGCTGTAACACCTGAACCCTAAGCCCTTAACCATAAACCCTTCACGCTTAGCAGTAACTAAGCAGCAAAACCTTAAGCCCTAAACCCAAACCCTTAACCCTACACCCCCAAACCCCAAACCCCACACCCTAAACCCTAAACCCTAGGCAGGGCGAGGGGCAGAAACTGCAGCGCTACGAGGGAGCCAACAACGCTGACGAAGCGATCCTTCGCCAACAAGTCAGGGTTTGGGGAGTTTAGGGTTTAGGCTTTCTCGTTCGAGGACAGGGAACTGCACTCCAGGGCTTAGGGCTTTCTAGAATTTCGACTGAAACAACACCTTGAGGTTGGATTTGAAGTACTGCTACGCCCAAAACCCGCCCTAAACCCTAAACCCTAGACCCCTAAAACCCTACAACCCTACACCCCCTAAACCCTAAACCCCTTAAATCCCTTAAACCCCTGGCCCTATCTGCACTTCGAGGTGTCGACTCTGAACCTTCCGCAGCCCTGAAGCTCGTCAGGTTCACGGCTTTCCAGGTGCCCCCAATGTCCACGGTTTAGGGTTTAGGGTTTAAGGTTTACTAAAGCCCAAATTAGGGTTTACTACTATGTCTAGGGTTTCGAGCTTAGGAATACGGGTCCCCCAGCCACCTTCCCGCGTGAGGTTGAGGGTTTAGGAGGGTTAGGGCTGATCTCGATTCTCCACGCACCTACTCAGGGTTTGGGGTTAAGGGTTTAGGGTTTAGGGTTTGGGGTTAAGGGTTTAGGGTTTAGGAGTTGCTGAGCTCATAAGCCCCCCAAAAAGTGTACACATTCAGTTCTATAGGGGATTAGTGGTATCCCAAAAGTGTAAAGTGTACTCACTCAGCTACTAAGTGCCTGGAGCTTTTATGCTTCCTTTTTGGGTTTAGTAAGGGAGTTTAGGGTTTAGGGAGTTTAGGGTTTAGGGGTTGGGGCCGGGGGGGTGGGGGCGGGGGGCGGGGGGTCAGGGGTTTTAGGGTGCATGTTTAGAGTTGAAGGTTTAGGGTTCCGGATTTTAGGAAGAGAAGGTAAAAGTGACCACATTATGGGCTCATGAAAGTACCCGGCGGGACGAACAAGGAGGATGGCACCATACTGGCTCTCAGCTTGGGAATTCGGTCCCAAAACCCTCCAACTTCATAGCATTCGCCCGAATCATAATGATCAGAAGCTGCCGCTGTCAAATGTTCCGAGTTCCACCACTTTCGCCCGGTCTGTCAGGTATGTTCAGGATCTCAGGAAACCTTTGCCTGTCGCTGTCGCTGGCATGTGCTGAGAGCCGCACATTCCAGCTCCTGTGCCAGCTGCTTCTCTGCCACTTTGGCTCCTGGCAACTAACCTTCCATCTTAGGGGGCGGGAATTTGGTAAGGGGGGTGAACAGCCTTCGAGCAAGTAAGTTCGCCGAACTTCACAACGGTGCACCCGAAACCCTGAACCCCAAATCCTAAAACCCAAACCCTAAACCCCAAACCCTAAACCCTAAACCCCAAACCCTAAACCCTAAACCCCAAACCCCAAACCCTAAACCCTAGGGCATCGTGCATGCCGCGGTGCGATGGTGAGGTACTTTGCCCTGACCACGCTGAGGATGCCTCGTGATCTCCCCTCTCAGGGTAGTAGCCCTAAACCCTAAACCCTAAACCCTAAACCCTAAACCCTAAACCCTAAACCTAAACCCTAAACCCTAAACCCTAAACCCTAAACCCTAAACCCTAAACCCTAAACCCTAAACCCTAAACCCTAAACCCTAAACCCTAAACCCTAAACCCTTAAGATGGTCCCTTCAAAGGGGGCCCCTTAGATACCCCTTACATACCCTATATACCCCAAGGGCCCATACATCAGAACCCCTCTAAGGAAGGTAAGGGGCCGTAGTACTGTAAGGGCCTATGTAACTACCTCCAAGGGGGTCGAACCCCTAAAGCCAGAAATCCCAAACTTGAGTTCAGTTAAGCGCGTAGGGGCTTAGGGGTTTGAGGGTTTCGGGGTTTAAGGGTTTAAGGGCTTTAAGGGGTTTAAGGGGAGTTCATTTCACGGGTTTTAGGGGTTCAAGGATTCAGGGGTTGGGGGTTTGGGGGTCTGGGTTTTTGTAAACCCTAAACCTGGACCCTGAAGCCTAAACCCTAAACCCCCGTGAAGCCCAAGGGCCCTTACTTTAGAACACTCTACCATGAGGTTCCCAGAAGGTTGGTAGGAAGTGCGTGTTAGGGGCCCCCAAGTTCCCTTTTTAAGGGTTTGGGGTTTCGAGGTTCTGGTTTAGGATTTAAGGTTTCGAGATTGTTCGCCCTCACCCCGTCCGCCCCGCCCAGGCCCGCCTGACGCTAACAAGGAAGGGTTCAGGGTTTAGGGTTTAGGGTCAAGGGTTTAGGAGCCGTAAGTGGGAAGTGGGTAGTGTTCCCCATCGCAGACGAACAACTCAACCCAGGTGCCGGGTGCCCTTTACATCCTCGAAAAAGGTGTTGAGGTGTGGAGCTTTAGGGTTTTAGGTGAGGTTTAGGGTTTAGGACCCTGTAAACCCTCAACCCCAAGAAGGTACCCCTCATTCCGTAAACCCCCATGTTGGGTGAAGATTCAAAACGTGTTTAGAACTTGCACCCAACATGGGGGTTTACGAAATTTGGGGTACCATCCTGGGGTTTAGGGTTTAGGGTTTAGGGTTTAGAGTCCTAATTCCAAAAAGGGACCATAATTTTGACAACCACCCACATGGAAAGTCGAGTGGCTGTGAAGCGTCTCCCCATAGGGATCGTTGGAGCCTGGAGGGTCGGCATGGTGGGAAGGGTTAAAACCCTTTGTAGGCCTTTGTAAGCCTCTAAGCCCTAAACCCTAAGCCCTAAACCCTAAATCCTAAACCCTAAACCCCAAAGCCTGAAGACTCAAATCGGAAATCGCGAAATGTTCGGAACTTTGATCTTCTTTGAGGGCCTGGGGCCCCAGACACGCCCTGCTCAAGGCTTAGGACATTTAGGGGGCTTTGGTGGTGTATAGGGGTTTGCTTCGGGGCTAGGGGAGTTCGGGGGTTTAGTGGGTTTTACGTTGAAGGGGTTTGAGGGCAAGAATTGAATCCCAACCATAAACTTGGCCTACGCTTGTTTCGCATGGACTCAGCCGTCACCCACACACCAGCACTTTCTCTCAAAAAGCGCTTTTGGTAAGACTTGTAGAGGATCCTAGACCCTAAGCCCTCAACCCCAACGGGTGCTACTGGGTGTCCGCTAGAACACCGTCGCAGCCCCTGCTGTCCTAGGGGCCTGTAATCATTAGAATAAGCTTTTGGGGCCCTAAACCCTGAACCCTAAACCCTAAACCCTAAAACCCTGAACCCTGAACCCTAAACCCTAAACCCTAAACCCTAAAGTATAGGGGTTCTGGCCTAGGTAGCAGTTGGACCAGCCGGCGAAAGTCGTAGACTCATGCTTGCCGTTGCCGTACCTTCAGGAAATTCTAGGAAGTATGGGTGTTTAGTTGGAGGTTTAGTTTGGGTCCCTTGTTATGTAATACCCTCATATGCACTCTATAGAATATGGGCCCATACTTCGGATCCTAATAAACAACTGTAAGGGGCCATACTAAGGGCCCATGATTCCAACCTGCGAGGAAAAGGGAAGCTCTCGTAGAGCTTTGGAAGGGTTGGTTGTGGGGATACAGTTTCAATTTTGGTGGATGTTCCCCCTTATACTAACAGTCCTTGAAAGGGATTCAAAAAGGGGGGAGGGGTACTATAATCCCAAATAAGGACTGTTAGTATAAGGGGGAACATCCCAAGATGTGGAGGTTGTGGGGTTCAGGTTTAGGGCCATGGACTTTTATGGATTTTCGGCATTTCGAGGCTGGGGGGCCGTGGTGCTTGTAACCAGAGCACTACCCATGAACCTGCAAATGCCCCCAACGTGGTCTAAGACAAAAGGCATGCACCCAACCCCCCCCCCCCCCCCCTTAAAAAAAAGGTAAAGAACAAAACAAGAAGGAAAAATACAAAACTGAACTCAACGCACCCTAACACCTAAAACCCACTATAGCCTCCCAACCCTAAACCCTAAACCTCCCAAACCCTCAAGCCGCCCCAACGGTGCCCGAACGCCCAAGGGAACCCCGAAGTCCCCCAACAAAAAGGCAAACCAACCACTGCGCCAAGAAGCCTTAAGAGCAAATTCACCCTTAAACCCTGAACCCTTAAACCCCTGAGCCCTTAAGCCCTTAAGCCTTAAGCTTCAAGGCCTCAAGGCCTCAAAGCCTCAAAGCCTCAAGGCCTCAAGGCCTCAAAGCCTCAAGGCCTCCAAGCCTCAAAGCCTCAAGGCCTCAAGGCCTCAAAGCCTCAAAGCGTCAAAGCCTCAAGGCCTCAAAGCCTACCTAAACCCTAAACCCTAAACCCCAAACCCTAAACCCTAAACCCCAAACCCTAAACCCTTCACCCTAAACCCTTCATTTCCAGGGACCCGAGGCTCCAGCCCCAGCGGCCGAAAGTCGCGGGCAGCACAGCGGATGCGCACGGGACCTTGGAGAAGCTTGGGAGTCTGTAGAGGGGGGGGGGGGCTTCCCTACATAGGGTTTAGGGTTTAGGGTTTAGGGTTTAGGCTTTAGGGTTCAGGGTTTAGGGGTTTAAGGAGTTTGTGCATAGCTTTGGGGTTTGAGGGTTGCTGGTAGGGGGGTGAGGGGGTTTAAGTTCAGGGGGTTTATGGGGTCCACGTGGGTTTAGGAGGTTTGAAGGTTTTGGATGCCTAAACTCTAAACCCCAAACCCCAAACCCTAAACCCTAAACCCTAAACCCTATAGACCCTAAACCCTAAACCCGGGGTTTAAGGGTTGGAGGGGGGTTTTATAGACAGCTCAAAGGTCCTTGCTAGGTTGGCGTTGGGATGTTCCTCCGCTATACGAACAGTCCTTGGAAGGGATTATAGTACCCACCCCTGTTACAATCTCTAAAGCCTAAACCCTAAACCCTAAACCCATAATGGGGAACATCCCAAGCTTGGCCCCTTAAAGGGTGTGAAACACATCCCAGCTATCGTCCTCTTAAGCCCAGTAAGAGAAAACAGGAATCTATTTCCGACTTAGTGAGTCCACTTAGCATCCCCTAGCCACCCTGCTATAAATCCCCTTAACCCACCTTACTAACCCTACTTACTAAGTGGAAAGGGCTTCGAGGTACCTAGCTTTCAAGAGCCAGGGCTTGGGTCTCCAGGTGTCGTCCGGTGTCGTAGTGTCATCATGGGACCCCCCCCCCCCCCCCGTCGCAATTCAACTCGTTCTTTCCAGGAGGCGAGATCCCTCTCAACTGAGGCTGACTCGGCAAGCGCGCGTTCTTTTCTCTCGATCTCGCTGCCGCGCGACGAAGACGAAAGTCGACGGTGGCCAAGCCGCACGAGACTCCTATTAGATATTTCTAGAAGGCTCGGGCTTCGCGGCCAAATCAGGGCTAAAACGCCCCAAACCCTAACTCCTAGACCCCAAACCCTAAACCCTAGACCCCTAAACCCTAAACCCTAAACCCTAAACCCTAAACCCTAAACCCTAAAACCCTAAACCCTAAACCCTAAACCCTAAACCCTAAACCCTAACCCCAGAATGCCCTCAGCTCCCAAAGGCTGACAGAGCCGCAGCACCCACTACGAGGCCGCCAGCGTTGCCTCGGGCATGCTTGGGGGTAGGGTTTAGGGTTGAGGGTTGAGGGTTGAGGGTTGAGGGTTGAGGGTTGGCGGTTGAGGGTTGAGGGTGCCTTTAAGGGCTTTAGGGGCTTTTTAGGGGATTTTTAGGGGCTTGTTAGGGGCTTTTTAGAGGCTTTAAAGGCTTTAGGGGCTGTCTAGGGGCTTTAGAGGCTTAAGGGGGTCTTTTGGGCTTTTTGGGTTTAGGGTTAAGGTTAATTGGGTTTAGACCTCAAATGTGCCTTTCTTAGGCGCAGGGTGCTGCATAATTTACGGCTTCAGGGCCGTAGAACAGCAACCCGGAACCCGGAACCCTAAACCCTAAACCCTAAACCCTACAAATTTGCTTGCAGGCCCGCCGCTCAGGGCGACGTAGCGAATGGCCTTTGCCTCAGCTTCGGCAGTGTCCGGTTTGTTTGAGCTTCAGTTCTCCTACGGAAGGGGCGCAACTTGCGCAGAGAAAATGCGTAAATCGCCATGCAAACACCCCAAAAAATCTGAACATGCGTAGAGGGGTGGAATCGGACCCTTTCCTGGGAGCTCTTGTGACTTAGTAAGCCTCATTTAGTATCTCCCAGAAACCCCATAACCCACCTTACTAACCCTACTTACTAAGTCAAAAGGGCTTCCGAGTAGGGGGTAGAGGAATGTCGTTTGCGGTCACCCTAAACCCTAAACCCTAAGCCCTAAGCCCTGACACGTTGCTATTTGCCCGTGTGGTTTTCTTGAAATTCCCGGTCTGGAGAGAGTGTTCTTCTGTTGAGGGGCGGGGAGGGGGGGGGGAGGGGGGCGGGATTGGTTACAACCATTTGACTCTAACCATCCCCAAACCCTGCTATTTACGGCGTTTTTGCCTCTTTGTGCAACATGTTGCTGGAGGATGTTTGATGTTCAGCAAAACGGGCGCTGTCACACGTGTTCATGCCGTTTTGCGAACATGCCCAAAACCCTGCTATTTGCGGCGCTTTTGCCTCTTTGTACAACATGTTGCTGGAGGATGTTTGATGTTCAGCCACACAAGGCACTGTCATAAGCGTTCATGCCATTTTGCGAACATGACCAAAACCCTGCTATTTGCGGCATTTTTGCCTCTTTTATACAATGTGCGTCTCATCGAACACAACTACAGCTGGGTCTGGCGCTGGCAATTGGTCCCCAAGCGAACATCCTGGATCGCTTGGGGAAGGTGTGCTAAAATGAGTGCCCTAAGTTTGAGTTCCTGGATTTCCTAAAGCACGAATCCCTCAATTTCCACAGCCACACGCACGAAGTCCTGTAATTTACAGCGCTTTCCGTGTATGCCCTAAAACGTACAGGCCCGCCACCACACGGTCAGATATCAACGTGTGACCCCCTAAGCCCTAAGCCCTAAACCCTAAGCTCTAAGCCCCAAACCCTGAACCCTAAGCCCTAAACCCTAAACCTCTCGGTTCTTCCAGGTGGGCTGTGTCTTCCCAGTCATGGGAGCCCTTAGGTGGTCTTAGGGGTTCAGGGTTTAGGGGTTCCTAAGAGTAGTTATTTGGGCCCTTAATAGGGGTGAATAGGGTGAAGGGCCCATACTAAGGGACCACGTAACTACCCTAAGAGGGTTTGGGTCTGGAAGCCAATGCCCCCCCCACCGAGACTGGACATTTGCATTCTCTTAAGCTCCGTAGCGAAGTAAGTACCGGCTATGTGCAAGCTCTCTCCACCCTCTTGGTTAAGCTACCCATGAATCTGCAAATGCTCAAGAGCCAGCAGCTGTAAAAACACGAAGCACCTTTGCTAAGCTGTTCCTGGAAGACAAGGTTTTGTATTAAAGGGTTCAGGGTTTAGGCAGAACCCTGTGACCAATGTGATTTGAATAAGATCCTCTTTGAACCCAAGAGAGAGAAAACAGATGAACTTCCCTAAGCTGACACCAAAATGTTCAGATCTTAGGCGTAGCCCTTGAAATGGATGTGCCTTTAGATGTAGCAAATGCAAGTTCACAATGCATTTCCCAAAGCGATGTCGCCTAGGTCCGAATTCAAACACGCCTAAACCCCAAACCCTAAACCCTACACCCTAAACCCTAAACCCTAAAGCCTAAAGCCCTAAACCGAAACCCTAAACCCTAAACCCTAAACCCTAAACCCTAACCCCTAACCCCTAAACCCTAAACTCTAAACCCTAAACTTACCCTAAAACCCTAAACTCTAAAACCCTAAAACCCTAAACCCTAATCTCTAGCCCTGAAACCCTAAACCCTAACTCGGCCCTGCTTGGGTGCAAGATGCATACAACCCTAAACCCTAAACCCTAAACCCTACACCCTGAGCCCTAAACCCTGAACCCTAATTTTACACCCTAAACCCACTCGGCCCTGCTTGGGTGCAAGATGCATATAGCCCCTTCTTCGTGAGCTGCACGGCCTCCAGGGCGAAGGTGGAGAAGGTGGTGAGGCCTGCCAGTGATGTGCTTTGAGAGTTAAGGTTCTTAGTGGGGAATGGGGGAATGAGGTACTGTACCCTACACAATCCCTTAATTAAAGGGTACATTATAGGGGGATATACGGGGTACCCCATTCTCCCTCATTCCCTACAGCAAGTTAACAGGAAGGCGTTGGCCGCTTGTTTTGCGTCGCGACGGTCCCCAAAACCTTAAACCCGCGTGGATTCACGGGTCGGCCCACTGCTTGACTTGCCCCGTGGCACAAAAAGGTAGAACTTCTAAACCCTAAACCCTATTCCCTAAACCCTAAACCCTAAACCCTGACCCTAAACCCCAAACCCTAAACCCTAAGCAGGGTTTGTGGCTTCAGAAGGCTGCTTTCCTTGCTGGCTGCCTTCCTAGCTGATATGGGACGTATGGCTCGGATCTGGACTGAACCCTCTCTACATCTCACACTTTCCGCCTGCCCAGTACGAACCAAAAACCTTGCCGACCTCTTACATCAGTGGGTCGTTTTTTGCTGGTATTAGGGGGACGCCTCAAATATATGTATATGTATATATGTATATATATATATATACACACTCACCAGAGGAGACCTATACGCACTCACCGAAGTGCATAGACCCTAGACCCTGACTCTAGACCCTGCACAGCTAAACCCTAGGCCCTAAACCCTTACGTCAACCCAGGATTTTCTACCTAAGCCTTCGTTCGAACCCTGAGGTCTCAAGGAAGGCGCTAGGGGGGTTTAGGGTTTAGGGGTTTCCTAAACCCTAAACCCTAAACCCCAAACCCTAAACCACACCCTAAACCCTAGGGCTGAACCCCTAAACCCTAAACCCTAAACCCTAAACCCTAAACCCTAAACCCTAAACCCTAAACCCTAAACCCTAAACCCTAAACCCTAAACCCTAAACCCTACCTAAACCCTAAACCCAAACTGGAGAACTGCCCGCTATTGCCTCCGCAGAGTCCGGTGCCCAGCAGCACGCGGAGGCGCGACTGCGCCGGAAGAACGGCCGTGAGGGCCCCTTGCTAGGAAGCTTGCGGAATTAGGGTTTAGGGTTTGGGTTTAGGGTTTAGGGTTTGTTCGGGATTTATTACGAAAATCGGGGGGCCCCGTACTTAGACACCAAATAATCGGATTCCTTCATTCAGGGTTTAGGGTTTAGGGTTCAGGGTTTAGGGTTCAGGGTTCAGGGTTTAGGTTTTAGGGTTTAGGGTGTAGGGTGTAGGGTGTAGGATTTAGGGTTTAGGGTTTGGTACCCAAGAAAGTGAACCAGACTTAGAGGGCCGCTGGTTCCTAGTCACAATCAGAGTCCCTTAGCACATCCTAAACCCTTCGGACTTGTGGCCTTCCAGGGCAGGCTTTTTTATTTAGGGTTTAGGGTTTAGGGTTTAGGGTTTAGGGTGCCTTAGTAGGGATTATAGCACGCCC